ATATATATATATTGGCTCTCGAATTATCTGTTTACTATTGCAAGGAGGAAGAGAAGGAACAACGGAGTCGAAATCTTTGACCTTCTCTTCCGGTGTCGTCGGGTTGTTCAAACCTCTTTGAGTTCACTTGCATTCCTCATTTACACCGTCTCTTCTCTAACGTCGGGGTTCACACAGCTCACAGGCATTTCGTTTGACTCACCCACCTAACAACAATCGTTCCTTTTTGCCCGCCGCTCTGTCTGGGTTGGGAGAATTGAAGAGAGAGAGAGAGAGAGTGGCGGGGGGGTGGGAGGGGGAGGGCAGAAGATAAAGAGAGGAGGTCTCGTTTTTGGTAGCTAAATTTAGAAGAAGCACCGCGGGAAGTTGTAGAGAGATTGAGAGGAAAAGTTTCGCCTCTCAATCTTCCGTCTTTGTTCTTTTTCCTCTCTAATTTGTAGAGAGATCGAGAGGAAAGAGTTTTTGGTTTTATGAGGCCTTTCGTATTCCAATACTTTATTCTTACATCTTCCAATCCTCCCAATTCTTGCCCTTCTCGGGTTTCTATCTTTTCTTGGTAAAAAAGATCAAGTTTTGGAGCTCCCAAAAATTTTCTTTTCAGGTTCCTTTCGGTTAATCTCTGACGAAAACCTTGAAAAGATTGGATCTTGATTGGAAAATCCAGTAAATTCTAATGGGGAATTGCTACGCCGCTCCCATTGATCGCGAGAAGAAGGCGACGACGAAGAAGAAGAAGGATAAGAAGTCCAATCCTTTCTCCCTCGATTACCGCCGTGGAGGCACACCCCGCCTCGTCGTCCTCAAAGATCCCACCGGCCGGGACATCGGTAGCCGATACGATCTGGGTCAGGAGCTCGGACGCGGGGAATTCGGCGTCACCTACCTCTGTACTGACAAGGCCACGGGCGAGCTCTTCGCCTGCAAGTCGATTTCCAAGAAGAAGCTGCGGACTGTCGTGGACATCGAGGACGTGAGGCGGGAGGTGGAGATAATGAGGCATTTGCCGACCCACCCCAACATCGTGAGCCTTAAGGACACCTACGAGGACGAAGGCGCGGTCCACCTCGTCATGGAACTATGCGAAGGAGGGGAGCTGTTCGATCGGATTGTTGCGAGGGGGCATTACACGGAACGGGCAGCCGCCATGGTCATCCGAACAATTGTTGAAGTAGTGCAGGTGATGCCCATTTCTTTACCAGACAGAGATGGATGGCTGTTATCATTTCCTATTCTTTTGTGGTTACTAAGTTCATGTATATTCTTGCTTTTTCGTGGATAGATGTTGGAAGTTAGGATCTGAGTATGACCTGATGCTGATAGGATTAGAATCTAGATCTCTGGTGGAAGTATAATCTTCTGCTGAAAACCGATATTTTTTCTGTTCAATTTCTCTATAGAAAAAGTTATTTTCATTTTGTTTCCTCCATGAAAGTATGTGGTATCAATTGGATGTTCAAGCATTCTGAAAAAGGCGATTTTTGGATCTTTCTCGACTAACATTTCAAAAACCGAAGGAGTATATTTGTATATCCTTCCATTGTGAAACTTGTTAGGACACTTGCACATTCTTCTATTGCTGTGAAGGCCATATCGACTAATATAATTTTGTTGCTTACTGTACCTTTTTTATGTTGTACAATTGTTTCTCACTTTTGCAGTACTTTAATCTCCAAGTTGATCTTTGCCATTGCCTTTTTTCAGGGACATTGTCACCATTTTGATGTATGAACTGTGATATCATGTTAATGACTGTTCCCTCTTTGCACCTGGATCTGTCAAGATTGTTTAGTTCTTGGCATGACAGGAAATTATGCTGTTCTTACATTTATCATATTGCTTCAAGCTGGATTTGAGTGTTGCCTGCCTAGACATTTGCTGAATTAGATAATGTGCTGACATGCTTGCTTGATGTCACAACAGAATTGCCACACGCATGGAGTGATGCACCGAGATCTTAAGCCCGAGAACTTCTTGTTTGCAAACAAAAAGGAAAATGCCCCTCTGAAAGCAATTGATTTTGGGTTGTCTGTATTTTTTAAACCAGGTAGGTTGTAATTATAATACTATAAAGACAATTTTTTAATCTTAGTCTATAATATTTGTCCAGTTACTAAATTTTAACTTGAAGAATTAAGGTACCTGTCAATCCTTGAGTGGCTGGAATATGATGAAAATTCATTTTCTAGTCATACTACTTAATGGAGCAGTAGGCATCAGTGTTTGTAGGTATTTTCATGAATTCTGACTCGCTAGTTCTTTCTTTCACTATGCAGGTGAGCGCTTTACTGAGATAGTTGGAAGTCCTTATTACATGGCTCCGGAGGTCTTAAAGCGAAATTATGGCCCAGAAGTTGATGTCTGGAGTGCAGGAGTCATCCTGTACATCCTGCTTTGTGGTATACCACCATTTTGGGCAGGTAGTTTCTTTCCTTGGAAGGCTGCAGAGAAAGAACGTCCACGATGGACGTTCTCTAGATGCAGTTTGATATTAGATACTTTTAGATGCCTTATAATTCAACTATCAAAAGACGAACTGTTTTCAGCTATAGTTTACCCTGTCTGATATTCTCTTTAGCATATCCTGATAATCTAGCATCTAATGCTTTTCCCAGAAACGGAACAAGGCATTGCACAGGCAATTATTCGTTCTGTTGTCGATTTTAAAAGAGAACCATGGCCTAAAGTTTCTGATACTGCCAAAGACCTTGTTAAGCAGATGTTAGATCCAGATCCTAAAAGACGTTTGACGGCTCAGGAAGTGCTGGGTAAATCTTCAACACCTACTTGTTCTTCAAGCTCAGTGGCTATCTATCTAACTAAATTATATTTGCTTTGCTGAAAATGTGAAGACTTCAAAATTGTGGTATCAAAATATGATCATCTGTAGTAAATCATCCTTGATTGTTTCTAATTGTTTCATCAAGAGTGCAATGGTGAATGCTGAAAACAAAGTTATCGACTTCCTCATACTACTAAATATCACATTAGCATTTCATTTCTTTTTTTCCTTCTGAAGGATGTTGTGCATAATATTAATTTACTGTTTGCTTCAGATTTAGACCATACCATCTACTCCTTTTGTTGTCTTCTGGATTTTATCTGCTGATGTCTACATCTGAAGTAACTACTATGCTCTGCGCTTTTCATTCTCAAAATTTTTCTCTTACAATTTGCATTGCAGATCACCCATGGCTGCAAAATGCCAAGAAGGCTCCCAATGTCAATCTCGGTGAAACTGTTCGTGCAAGGCTTCAGCAATTTTCGGTGATGAACAAACTTAAAAAGAGAGCTCTTAGGGTAAGAATCTGTTGCCTTCTTGAACAGATTTCTTATCCTGTTAGCACATCAGGAAAAGCGATGTTCTTATGGTTGTGTTTATTGCAAACTTTTCATGTTTTACAAGATCAGGATCTGCTACATTTTTATATTCTTCATGCTCTGGCGGAATTTAGGTTTAACACATTTCTAAATCATCACTGCTGCAGGTGGTGGCTGAACATTTATCCATGGAGGAGGTTGCTGACATAAAGGATATGTTTGACAAGTTGGATATAAACAAAAAAGGGCAGTTGACACTTGAGGATTTAAAATATGGTTTGCATAAACTTGGTCACCAGATGGCTGATGAAGATGTTAAGATACTAATGGAAGCAGTGAGTTTCCCCCTGTCCATTTAGTTTTCCATTACAATACTGATTTGTCATGAAGGTAACTTCATGATTATTCAAAGTTTTTCTTGTACTAAGATCTCCTATTATGAGATCTTAAGGGCATGAAAATGTGTTCATAATGTCAGCATTTCATTTTTCTTTCTTAGAATTCTTAGATAGACTGAACATTTACAGTCACCACCAATTCTGATCCCATGAATAACTTGGAAATGGAAGCTAAAATGTGCATTCAATAATTTTAAGTCTGGGTCACATTCTGGATATATGGTTTAGCCAAATCAAGATGTTTCTGCAAACTCAGATTTTTTCTATTATGTCCAAGGATAATCTAAAAAAATTGCATGTGTCTAACTTGAAAAGTTACTGTTTCTGTCCTAAATTTAGCATCTTCATGACAGGCTGATGTTGATGGAAATGGCACCTTGGACTATGGAGAATTTGTTGCCATCTCGATCCACCTCAAAAAGATTGGGAACGATGAGCACCTACACAAGGCCTTTCAATACTTTGATCAAAACAAGAGTGGATACATAGAAATCGAAGAGCTCAGGGATTGCTTAGCTGATGACATAGGTCCAAATCATGAAGAAGTGATTAATGCCATCATTTGTGATGTAGACACAGACAAGGTCAGTTTCCGACTTATATGGTAGCTTCCGGTGATACATCACCTTCTACTTCTTTTGTGTTTCATCTCTTATCCTTATGATATAAAACAACTGCTCAATTTATAATTAATCAGAAGGTATGCTGCTTTGCATTATTATTTGCTTAGTGATTATAGAGGATATCGGTACTCCTACGGTACTCCTTCGTCTAGGAAAGATAATCCCCAGACCAGAAAGCAAGCATTCTCTTGTGTAAATTGTTTTCTTCATCTCAAGACACTAAATGAGTCAAAATTTGCCTTCTCAAATCTCAGGATGGGAAAATAAGTTACGAGGAGTTTGCTACGATGATGAAGGCCGGGACAGACTGGAGGAAGGCATCGAGACAGTACTCAAGGGAGCTGTTATATAGCCTCAGCTCGAAACTGAAGAAAGATGGATCTTTGAACTGAACCGAGACACATCTGTGAACATCAAAGAAGAATATCTGTATTTGCTGGTTTGCAATATTCTTTCTCCTCGTTTGTTCCTCTACCGAAGACTTCAGCGGCTTCCGCCTATTTTCTTTCTCTGGTTTCCTTGATATGGTAAGGGTCTAAGGGGATTGCGGATGTTTGAGACTCGTGAAATGTGGATAACCAAGGCATATCACTGGGGGGGTGTATGATTGTAAATGTGTATGCATTTCTAGACTGCTAAAGCAGGCACCTGATTGTAATCTTACACCTTATAATATATTCGAGTGTATCTACCCTTTGTAGATCTTGATCTTGTTCCTCTTAATCCTTCCTTCATGAAGTCCTTGGCTTACAACTCTTTTCCGATATCTATCTATTTTAAGCTCATAAAATGGAAAGCCTGAAACACCCTGTTTCTGTTCCAGTTCATGGCTGATGGTGTCGGATTTTGTTTTTATGCTTACATGCTGCTCATAACAATTCACCTTTTTGCAAAATTGATCAACAATCTATAAATCCCCTCTGTAAATTCCTGTATGAGGTAAGATTTTGATCAGTATATGAGCTGCTATCCACATCAATCTTTCATCACACTTGGTCATAAGAATGGACTAGATTTCTATTAAAACAGCATCTAGTTTCCATTAAGCTTATCAGTAGTTGTTCAAGGCAAGGGACATTTGCCATTATTGTTTGAGAAGCAGAATGTCTGAATCATAATCTCAGAGATTTATGAATCTTAGCCTTCAATGTGGATTAAGATATTTGATAGATGCAACCTCATCAACAATTCAAGTACAAATTGCACAGTGAGATTCAATATGGACTCTCTCCTCACAGGAAGCCAAGCAAGTTCTTCCACATGTCCATTTCTGATTACATAGTAAAGGCACAGACTTACTGTTAGCTCATTATTTACACTGCATACTGCAGATATGGGTCAGCTGCACTTAATAGCTTTTATATGACTCTGAATTGTCTATCCTGCAGTTCTCTTAGTTTTAGAGACAGATTTCTCATTTTGAAGGCACACCACATAAATGATCTTAAAGATCCACAGTGCAAATCTTTTTTTTTGATGTGTTGAGATGATAAGGTCCTTGGGGCTGTAAATTTGAGTGAGTGGGAAAAATTCAAACCTTGTCTGTGAGTTCATAGCCATAAATGTCAACAAGAACAGAAGAGATGCTGGAGGGCTGCAGCATGAAAGGGAATCCAGTGGAATTAAGGCTGCATCAAGGATTGAAATTTAATGCTCTTGGATTCTTTTGCAGTGTTGATGGTGGTCTTGGGCTTGAAGAGAGAGAAGCAGAAGAGCAGCAGCTTGGTCTGCTAATTTAGCTGCCTGTTCTTACCCTTCCTATTTATGAGGAGGCCCTTCTTTAATAGGATGGATTGATAAGAAACATTGTTGCAGTGATTGTCTAACTGCAGTGATTGTCTAACAATGAAGAAAAGAAATGGAAACATGAACATAAGACCCAAACAGAGTGTGTCTGCTATAGTTGGAACAACAAAGCAGACACCAACAATTTAGATAAAAGGATTCCTTTACTTTCTATGCAATTTTGCCTTTGTCCAGAAGAACAAAAATTAAAAAGGAGCATCTCGAGAATCAAATGAGTATTCCAATCTCCTTTTCCATGCAAACAAGTGCCATGGATGGATGCCACTGCTTTCTTCTCCTCCAAAGGTCTCAGGAGAGTGTCATCACACATGAGGTGAGCACCACCAACTCCCTCTTCTCTCGGGCGCATGACATCCTCGTCATCAGCGACGACAGCCACCATATTTTAGCTTAGCTTTTGGATCATCGCCGTCCCCGATGATCCCGCCTCGAGGACAGCTCCAGGTCGCTTTCTCCTGCACATCACAAGGGAATACTTGGCGACATGGATGAGATCCGAAAGCTTGGCCTGTTAATTCTAGCCACTGCTTTCTCATGTGATGCTGCTGCAAAGGCGTGGAGAGTGATTCCAGGGATGAGCGAGGCACGACATGTTCCGGGAACTTCCATCACCGTCACTCGAGGAAGAATCTTTTGGACAGCACTGTTCATGGAAGCCCGTATGATACTGGTTTCCATGATCTAAACATTGCACTGCTCTCTCATTTATTGCAGACGAAGGAATTGCGAGCCACCAGACCGTAATAAATGAGAGAATTTTTCGAGTCCTCAGCTAAAAATAAGCCTCCTTTCCCATTCTTCTCATCTTTCATATCTATCTCCGTCTCCTTCCCTCTGCTATCTCTTTCTCCTCCACTTATTTTTCGTCCTCTTTCTTGCAGTATAATTTCAAACAGCTCAAAAATTACTGATGCGATTTGTTTCACAAGCATTTTCTTATCAGTAACAAAAGCATCTCAAGATCAGAATGAATACAAAGGAAGAAATTTGATGACATGCAAACACAATCATGCATCAACTTGACGTATAAGGCGATGGAGAAAGGAAGAAATTTGAGGCCTACAAACTTCATGTCATTTTGCATTACAACATCAACTTCCTTCCTTCCTTCCTGCGGGCATTAATGGATCGCATAACTCCATGGCCGTCGACGTCCCAATGACTCGGAAAGGGGCAGTGGGAGTGGGGGAGGGGTGTGGCAGCCTTGGAAACAAAGCAAGAAGACCTGAGAGAGTTAGAATGGGAATCAGTGGGGCCCGATTGCTGAGGAAAGAGAAGACCACCTTAACACCTCCTTTGTTTTCTCCCGCGTGGACGACTAAGGTCACGTCGATTGGATCCCACACCATCGATTACCGTGTGGTGATTCCATCAACGGGGAAGCCGTGCCCGTACCCGTGCCCGTGCCGTGGGCCCCGGCAGAGTTAAAATCCGGGTGAACGTTTGGGTCATAACGCGGCTTCCAATCGCTGTGCGGGTAACGATCGTGGGTAACTCGACACTGGTGTCGTTTACATTGGCTTTTCGTACGAAGTGACGCCCAACCCCGCGTACCGACGCGGTCCGTCCCACCACGACACGCACCTCTCTTTGATTGGCCTGACGGTGGGTGGACCCCAGCTCGCTTCGCGCGGTGCCTCTCAGGGTTATCCATGCTAAAACGGTTTCGCGGAGATCAACGGTCTCGATCGAGGGGACCTCCATCCACGCCGGTCGATGATATCGAGGGCGGAGGCCGCCGACTCAACGGCCTCGTTGCTCCTGCGGAGCAGTTTAGCCACATGCACCTCGCCGAGGAAGCCGAAGTACGAAATGACCAAACTACCCCTCCTTCGCATTCGAGAGCTGGCTTGTGCGGTGAGAATAAAAAGGTAATTTCGATGAATTACGAAGGGTAAACGACGAGGAAAACGAAGTAGCCATCGACGGAGACTTCGAGACCGACGATATTTTTACCCACCGATTTCGTAAGTTGCACCCGTCCCACCTTTCGTTCCACCGACCGCCGTCGGTGCGCTCTGAGGCGCGCGAAGAGTAAGGATATCGACATTGTCACTTCGCCCGCGTCCTCTCTCGTCGCACACGAGACGGGCAGACAGAGTTCCGAGTTCTCTTGTCCTCACCGCATGCGTTTTATATGCGGTAAGCGGGCTCGAGCCGTTGGATCGTGGAGTCGGTGATCTCGATGCGACTTCGACGGCGGATGATCCACCGCATATGTGAGGGCACCACTTGGCTTTCGTAGTACTTTCACGTCGACCGGATTTGACCGCACTTCTGAGGTCGATTTGATTTGGGGGGCCTCGGGTCCGGTACGGCACCCGATTCGCGGACTCCACCGCGGATTCCAATCGAGCAGAGGCGCCCTCGATCCACGGAAGGGAACCATCCGGTGACTGGCCCCACGTACCCACCCGGTTCTTCCCCCCCGGCCCCACCTTCCGCGGTTGCACCGGCTCGGTCGGTCACCCGGCGTTTGAATTACCCGACTGGCTCGGAGATTACCCGACTCTACAACGTCCGTCATTGTGGGTTCCATTTTGTCCTCGAATCACAAAGCAGGTGGCCGGGACGGGCACGACGTGATCGTTTTACTGATGCTAGGGTCTGCTTGCATTTGGAACAAATTTCAAGTGCGTTTCATTTCGAACTGGGTAAAAAAATGGGGGGCGACGGGGGGAAGATAAATCTCTCACGCAGAGAGCATAAATAAATGACTGAAATTTGGCTGTCATTTGGGCAAGCGTTTCATTTTGTTTTCGTTTGGGGTGCACCTGATACCCGAAGACCTCGCTCCTCTCTCCTCGCTCCCTTGGTGGGCTTCGTCTGCCTCCTACCTGGGATCGGCGAGCTCTCGGTAAATCGGCGACGGTGACGTGCAAGGTGCGCCGAGCTATCCTGCTGGATGGCCGATCTCTCCGTGAGCTCAGGGTGTTTGCTGCCGCCTGCTGGTTCTACTCCTAGGATTGCTGGAGGATCCGGCGGTCTCGAGCCCATCAGCGGTGCGTCGACTCTGGTTTCGACTGCTTCGTAGCTGATTTCGCTCGTCAGCGGACGTAATCTGTGGGTTTTCTCAGATGTCTCATGCGTCATTTTCGGATGTTCAATCTGATTTTGTTGACTTCAGCGATGATTTCTAAGAAATGATGAGGGTTTCTCCGTCGCGTTTTGGTTCTTTTAGGATTATTTCGGCTAGATGGGATGGCAAAGGCTAGATTATTCCGGTTGCTTTTAATTTGGATTGTTCCTTCAAATTTGTGGCCAGGTTTGGCAGTATAATATTTCGCTCTTTTTGAAATCATGCAAAAGTCTTGAGCTTTCGTGATTCCTCTTCATCTCTGGTGTTCGAAAGTGCACCATATCGTAGTGCTGACCACATAATTTCCCTAACTATTCTTTAGAGTCTTTCATTTGTATCGATTTTAAACAATCTGAAGTAGCCAAAATGAGATTTTGTTGGTTCTTCTCATCGATCTGTACGTTTCCAGGCCTAGTTCCGGCAGATCGCAGCATGTGCGGTGGTCCGGGCCGCTTGAAGTCCTCAGCTTCGTCTTCGTTGTCGCCGTCTCCAACCTCACAGGAAGAACATCAGCAACGCTCTCTCGCCGCAGGAATGAGTCGACTGACCGTAGAGATCGACTCTTTCTCCTTGAGCCTTCTGGAGCTCGCCGCTAACAACGATGTGGACGCCTTACGGCTGTTTCTGGACCGCGACCCGTCGGCCGTGGACGAGGTTGGTCTCTGGTACGGCCGAAGGAAGGGCTCCAACCGCATGGTCCTGGAGCAGCGGACTCCCTTGATGGTGGCCGCCACTTACGGCAGCCTCGACGTCCTCAAGCTCATCCTGTCCCTGCCCTCTGTGGATGTCAACCGTGTCGCCGGACTCGATAGCACCACCGCTCTCCACTGCGCTGCTTCCGGTGGATCTTTGGAAGCTGTTGATGCTGTGAAGATGCTCCTTGCGGCCGGTGCCGATCCCGCTTTGGTGGATGCAAACGGAAACCGCCCTGCCGATGCTATCGTGGTGCCTCCCAAGTTGCCTGATGTGAAGACTGGCCTTGAACAACTTCTTGGAAGGAGCACAAATGCGTCGGGTGGCTCAGATAACCACCACCACCCTCTTCGCGTGATGACCAGTTCGCCGAACTCCATTTCGCCGCCGCTTTCTTTGTCCCCTGATGAAGAAGGGTCGCCGTTGTCCAACTCGACTTCCTCCCCTCCGATGGCGAAGTTCCCTGACCTTCCTCCGGTGGTCGTGTCCGAGAAGAAGGAATATCCAGTGGACCCATCTCTCCCGGACATCAAGAACAGCATCTACTCCACAGATGAGTTCCGCATGTTCTCGTTTAAGATCCGCCCTTGTTCTCGGGCATACTCCCATGACTGGACCGAGTGCCCCTTCGTCCATCCTGGTGAGAATGCCCGCCGGCGTGACCCCAGGAAATACCACTACAGCTGCGTCCCGTGCCCTGACTTCCGGAAGGGGGCCTGTCGGAGGGGAGACATGTGCGAGTATGCACATGGGGTGTTCGAGTGTTGGCTTCACCCGGCACAATATCGCACGAGGCTCTGCAAGGACGGGACGGGCTGCTCTCGCAGGGTCTGTTTCTTTGCGCACACGAACGAGGAGCTTCGTCCGCTTTATGTGTCTACTGGCTCGGCTGTGCCCTCTCCAAGGTCATCCTCTGCTGCAATGGAGATGGCTGCAGCGATGGGGCTCATGCCTGGGTCACCATCCTCGGTCTCTGCTGTTATGTCACCTTTTACACCGCCCATGTCACCATCAGCTAATGGCATTGGCCACTCTTCAGCGTCTTGGCCGCAGCCAAATGTGCCTACATTGACTCTACCTGCAAGCAATCTTCAGTCAAGCAGGCTGCGCTCGTCTCTCAGTGCAAGGGACATGCCGGTGGATGACCTCTCAGTAATCTCTGAGTTTGATACCCAACAGCTACTTAGTGACCTGTGCTACTCCCGTCCAAGTTCATCTGCTGGGAATCGGTCCATCAGAACCAAAGCCTTGACTCCTTCAAACCTTGATGACCTTTTTTCATCTGAGATAGCCTCATCACCAAGGTATAATTCTGACCAGGGTAGTATTTTTTCTCCGTCTCACAGGACCGCTGTATTCAATCAGTTCCAGCAGCAGCAGAGCCTCCTCTCTCCGATCAACACAAATGTGTTCCCCCCGAAGGCTGTCGATGCTCAACATCTGCCTGCCCATTCACCACTCTTACAGGCCTCGCTCAATGTCTCTTCTCCTGGACTCATGTCTCCACGAAGTGTTGAACCTGTTTCTCCAATGAGTTCGCGCCTGGCGATGTTAACCCAGAGGGAGAGGCAGCAGCAGTCACTCCGAAGCCTGAGCTCTCGTGATCTTGGTCCCATTTCATCTCCGATCGTGGGTTCTCCTGTTAACTCATCGTGGTCGAAGTGGGCTTCTCCTTCTGGTGTTCCTGATTGGGGAGTTAACAGTGAAGAACTGGGACGTCTTAGGCGATCGTCTTCCTTTGAGTTGCGAGGAAATGGGGAGGAACCTGATCTTTCATGGGTACACTCACTGGTGAGGGAATCGCCAACTGAGAAAGTGGTATCTGTTGCCACGGCTCCTACCGGTCCTACTGGTGGTGCTGAGTGTTTGAATTCAAACGTTGAGATGGATGGGCATGATCAAGCTGCGGTACTTGGTGCATGGCTTGAACAGATGCAGCTCGATCAGATAGTAACCTAGGGGAAACCCGAATTGTCACTATGATGTTAGATGGGAGGTATTTGGTAGTAGATCAGTAGCTAACTAGATTCAGTAAACAATATTTTTTGGTTAGTTGGGTGGTAAAGAAGGGAAAGAAGCAGGAAGGAGTAATTTCAGAGATTCATTTCTTCAAAAACAGATTTATTGTTACTTCAAAGAGTTCCCTCAGTTCAAAATTGGATGGGGTTTATTGCTGGGGTTTATGAAGGCCTAACCCAGGTGAACTGCCTTCCAATATTTTGAACCTTTTGCTTCCTTTTTGTTTTGTTTGTAATCTCTAAACTTTAGTAAATATTTGATGGTAACTAAACTTTGTTCCCGTTTAGTTGATTATAATATATTATCTTTGGATGAAATGGAACTGGGTAGATAGACAGGGAGGGGGTTGGAGTGCATGGTTTTTGGGAGATGACCAGTTTCACTTTGCTAGGATAAAGATCTAGAAGTTTGCTCAAAGGCTTTTGTTTGGGACTTAAAACAATTGCAGCTGTAGAGAATCAATGGGTGCTAAAGTTCTCTGCAGACCAAGCGCAATTGCTCAAAGGCGCCTTTTGCGGAAGTTCTCTGCTTGATGTATTATTTGATCAAACATTACCAATATTTCTGTTCCATAGTTTTTTGGTATCCATACTAATTTGAACCGTAGTTATCTTCATCATATCCTTTTATGTTTGTTTACCTGTGGGGTGATAATATTCTCACTGATCCACATGTGCAAAGGGATGATATCTGTTTCTTTTAAAGACACATTGGAATCAGTGGTGGTGGGGCAATCTACTGAAAATTCTGGAACAGCTGGGTTATCTATGCAAGGTGTGCCATCTCATCTTTATTCCTTATTTAGTGGGCATCTCTTGTGTTGGTGAATGTGGATGGATTATGACACACCTATCCATGCTACTACCCTGATGTGGATCCAGAACTTACATATTTGTTGTATGTTCCATTAAAAGCATTGGTGAAGTTGGTTTTGATCTTGTTTTGTTTTCTGCTGGGGTGGGTGGATGCTCAAGCAAGTAGTTTTTGTGCTTGGAAGTACTTTTGTTGGACACCATGATTGGGGTGCAATTTGGAGTTAGTGTTCACCAAGCTCTCTAAAGATCTCATCCACAATGTTGTTAAAGCTTATGCTTTATCCTGACCTTGTGAATATGATAATGCTTTGGATGCCTGACTTTTTAGATTTGGATTGTGATCATGGAATATTATGAGTGGTGTTCTTGATCATTTTGTAAAATTCCCACTCTAAATCTTGATCTGCATCTTGGTGAAATATATGCATTTTATCTTCAGATTTGAACTCCTCCTATTTGTAGTACATGTGAATTGGAACAATTCCTATTTGTAGTAGATTTACTCATCAATGTAATAACCCATGGATGGTTTTGGTCTTTTCTTAAAATCATTTTAGGTAATAAATTAAGTATTTTCTTAAAATCAAGAAAACATGTTCTTAAATATGAAGATCAAATAATATTTATTAATGTTAACGAAATAAAAAAATACTTTTATAAATTATTTAATTAATATTTCATATATAATCTTTTAATGATATGTTCTATGAATTGGATTAGAATTTCTGTATGTAGCATATCTTCCCTAACCTCACCTATAACATCCCCAGAATGGTAGGTAGGGTTTAAAGGTAACAGTTGTACTGAATCTATCAGTTAATGTAACAATCCACAACAGGGCATCAAGATGCTGCACAGGACATTGTACATGACAACAAAATCTAGACTCTATTAACCATATAGATGACATTTTAAACTGCTATGGGTTCTTTAAACAGGCCTTCAATATTGTCAGAAGCTGGTCACTTTCCATGTTGCCATCACATATGTTGATGATATGGGTGTGGGCAGGAGATTCATCCTTTATTGATGGCAAGCATCCATCTCTTTTCAATCCTTCTGATGAGTTGGTGGTGGTGTGGAGATGGTGATGGGACAGACATCATCTACTTTCCACTCCAACTAATTGCTGTGAGAAGCTTTGGTGCATGCACCTAACTGCAATAGAATTGGATCTGTGGCAGCAGGAAGATCGTGGCTGGTCACCGGAGTGTCTTGGTCTGGGGAAAGAAACCCTGTGTGTGCATTAAAGGCCATTCAAGGAAGATTTGGGGTATTGTTCATCTGATTTCCTCTTAACAACTGTTTCTGTGACCCTTCTTTCATTCCTCTCAGTTGTTCTTGCTGTCGATGTAACAACTCCATGGTGGGTCTCTAATGTCATGTGTTGGGCCCTAATTGGGCGGTCCATTGACAAGCTGACACAATCATGCCCAACTCGGTGCTCACCGTTGGTCCTGTCCGTCCCACAAGCTCCTCTCGTTCCTGCGTCGACGGACCCGCGGCGCATGCTTCCGTGCTTCCAAGTAGAAGAAATTAAGGCGGTCATGCATGGAACGATGCGTCAGCTAGAGGTGTGGTTTTCTATCGCCTAAATATAATTATTCGATGCCATGTCGTCGTTCTGTTTGATGGAATGCCACACCGAGTTTGTAGTTTGCACTCAAGCATGTATCGAAGCAATTCGTCGAGTTCGATACATGCGTTTCACTTTTTTTGTAGAATCTTACTCTTCCATGTCGTTGATTATTTGTTGCAACTTTGCCTGCGATTCTTTTAGATTAGGTGCCCTGAGGGATATTTTAGATTAACAGCACTCAGTCGATCGATTGGCATCCATCAGCTCTGATGTGACGCGAATATTCTTTGTCATGCTCGCTCAATGTTCTGCAATAACCAACAACTGCATTCTTCTTCATTGTTCTCATTTTCTTTTGTAAGTGGCTGTTGTTTTTGTCTTTCATTATGATATACTGTTCATTCATTGAGACTCACAAAGCAGACTTGTCGTTTCCCCCTATCATATCTAAGGCAGAAACTTGGCTTTTGTGTCATCGAATGACATCTCCCCCTTCACTCCCAGTCTCCAAATGTCTATTTGTTTTCTCCTATCTCATGGATAATATCGTGTGGAGTGAGCACTTGAAGCCACAGGATTCCCACTGTCCTGCACGGCACGCAGCTGACAATAGTTGGAAACTAATATTAGCTTCTTGTTGTTATTCTCTCATTTTTGAACTTATCTAATAATTGACATATCATCTAAAAGTTCTTTAAATATGGTATATTATCTATTAATATGATGTCATAAATTCTGATTACTTCATATCGAATAATCTGAGTTGATAATTAGATTGAAATAATGTTTTTTAAAGTGTCTTTAAACACTTCTGTAGCATGTATTCCTGTGATTTATTTTTCCTCTCTTTGTGTGACTGGAATTATGCCATCTAATTTACCAGATCCAAGTCGCCAATGATCTTGATATGCTATTCTTTATCCGATGTATTGTTTTTTTGACATGCTTTTCATATTTACCCTCTAAATTTAAGTGTGGTGTATTTACTTGGCCCTGTAATTTATCTTGTCAGTAGACGATATCAATACCTTTCTTAAGAAAATTAATGATATTTTTGTTATTTCATATTTTTGTGCAAAATTTTAGCTCGAAATAACTATTGACAACAATTATCATGGCTATTTATGATTAACTTGAGTTTTCAAATGCATCTCAGGTAAATATGTTATTTCCTAACCTTGTAAGGATAGCTCCTAGCTGTTGTTGTACTGTTTTTTCTCTCTATATCACATGCTTGGAACAGTTTACTATGTTCAATATCATATATTTTAGAATAATATAATGCTTTTACCAGTTCTATTTCTGTTGTATATTCAACCAAGATTCTCGGATATGCAAAAGTAGTAATACCTATACCTGCACAATGTTACTTGCAATCCGACAAGATAAAGAATCTAAACTGAGAATCCATATCTAATATGTTTGAGTCAAGATTTCAGATTGAGCATCGAATCTATTTAAATGAATTCTAATCCTTGTTTAAAGTCGCAGGTCGGATTTTAGATGGAGTATCTCTGGAAAATCTCGGCACACATATTTGTCCTTCCAGAAAAAAAAAAAAGGAAGCAGAAAAAATCATATATTTTTGTGATGATTCATGTTTTGTCGTCATCAGGAAACCACTGAGGAAATCTAATGGCGATTGGGAAGGCCAGCGATGCCTTTATTTCTCCCTCTGGGGTCGCTATTATTGTCCGCGTGATTATATAGCCCATTGCCGCTGGTTCCAGTAGCTGCACTACGCCGACACAAACGAGGGAGGCCGGCAAAGAGAACGCCATGGGTGTCAAGGAGCAGCTGCTTCAGGAGGAGGAGGAGGAGAAGAGGGGCGTCGTGGCGGTGAATCCGAAGCCGAAGAAAGGGCTGGTGTCCGCGACGGTGGACCTGATCGAGCGGGTAATCGTGTACCTTATGCACGATCGCAAGACGCCTCTCCACTACCTCGCCGGAAACTTTGCCCCCGTCCGCGACGAGACCCCGCCCTGCACCGACCTCCCGGTTCGCGGTACACTCCCCGTAAGTCGATTCCCAAACCTCATTCGTCTTATCTCAGTTTGCTGTTGTTTTCTTTTTGTTTCTTGTCTCGATTTTCTTGGGCATTTAAATCTACTCTATTTCTGTAAAATTCTGGTTTGGTTTTGGATTTAGAATCGGTTTGGCACGAAAAATGGAATCTTTTCTTGACCTTGGATGATGTTGAAAGGGAATTTTCTGTTCTTTCAGCGTAAGATTTGGTGGAGAGGATAAACATTTCTTGGTTTTGTTATGGAAAAATAATTTAATTTATTTCCTGGACGTTAAATTGGACTTATTTCTTGACAAACAAACCTTTCTGGTGGAAGAATTCTCTGTTTCTTCGCACTACAGAGGGATTTCTTGATTATATCTAGGAACGCTCTTGGTGATGTGATTAAACTATTGATTAACATGAGTTCTTGGAGGGTAGATTTTTGTGAAGATTCTGAACTGTGAATGTCCTAGTTATCAGGAATGCTTGAACGGGGAGTTTGTCAGAGTTGGACCTAATCCCAAGTTTGTTCCTGTGGCTGGATACCACTGGTATTTCTCTTCCTCATCCTAACGATTCCATTTGTCTGAAATTATTAAAGAAGTACAGAACGTTCTTGTAGATTTTCTTGTTTTCTATTGCTTGCTTAATGGACATGAACATATCTTTTTCTTTTTTACTTTTTCCTATTATTTTTGGTCTTTTTTTTGCTGAGATTTGTTGAATGGGCTACCAATATTTGGTACGGATACATGCTTTTCAGAGTTGTTCTCCTGTGGGCATGTGATCAGCATGTGAATTAATCCACGTCTCGTGTTGTTTTATGTATTCTTCATTAGCAAATTCAATGTTTTATATAATTTCCACCTTTACCCCTCTGAACTGTGGAATTTTGCTTGTAATTAGTTGCTCACGTATCCAAGTTTGGTAATACTTATAAATGGAGAAAAATGTCCATGATTTTTGGACTTTAACATTATTTTACCATGAAATTGCTGCTACTATATTAAGGACATGTCTTGTACTTCTTGTCCCGTAGCATTTTGTATGTAAATGCTATAGCTTATTAGTCTTCTACTACATGCTTAGAGACATATTTCTTTCATTAATATTGTGAAATGCATCTAACTCAAGATTTTTTGGAAGTGAGAGCAAGAATTGGTTGGATGTATCTCATGAGATTACATTTTAAGTATTCTCATGATGATGGTCAATTTGTTTATTTGACATCTATCTTTTCCCATTTGTGCAGGTTTGATGGTGATGGGTATGTCCTGTATGGCCACTTTGTTCTGAGCAGCCTAATCAATTATTCAGCTATTCAAAGAGTTTTATTAGATCTAGTTGTTACTATTTCTAATAGGAAGAAATAGAGAATGCTTATTTATGATGGATCCACTGTTTTAGTTTATCTTTGCTAGTTCCACTTCTGACATGTGTTAGTAATTTGTGTGCTAAGTATATTTGTCAGAGTTAGTTAATAGTTTTTACATGTTGTAGCAGGATAGCCATTCTCTAGAAGAGATTTTGCTGGCTGTGAGACATCATAACTCAGTACTTGCTTTTGGGTGATATTGGATTTTGTTATAAGAAATCAATTATGATGTGATTCTCTCAGATAACAAAAATGAGCTTGCTCATGGATCACCAGTATTCCACTTTATGCCCTCTAAAAGTTTCTTTGATGAGTTTATATTAGCACCACAATTAATAGCATCTCAAGGTACCCACAGGTGCTTGTCACATTTTTGTACCTGGAATATTTCTCTTGTTTTTCATGAGATAATGCTATGAACACCCACATCACAGCCCATCATCATAAACTTAATGTCACAGATTGGTAGTTGACTAGTCGAGCAATTATAACAAGATCCAAATGGCTTGCAATTTTTCAAGGATTGAGTGTCATATTCGTGCTTTAATGCATTCTCATTTTCTTTCATTGATAACCTATGATAGTCATTATTTAAAGCCATAAAGCTTGTGGGTGACTCCGAAGGCCTTTTGATACTCTCTCCCTTGTGGTTCATGTGGATGTTCATGTATATTTTGCTCTAGGATGAGACTAATGATGTGGTACTTAACATACTTTCCCATAAGCATATATTCATGTACATGGATTGCTCGTCCATGAAGTTGGTTTTGTATTTCTTCTTGGCACCTGCACATGCAAAATGAAACTTACAATTGAAGGTGGTGTAGAATGAAAAGCAAAATGACAGGTGATATTTGTCAGCCAATATGAACAATTTCAAGGAATCAAATACTGGTTGGGCTGGTACATATGACTGCTATTTACCAGTCTGACCAAGGCTACTAGATTATATAGGTTGGTAGTGGTCGTATTTATTTTTTCTAATGGTACCAGATGCTACAGGTTGTGTACTGGTTTGACTGGTTGCAGAAATTGGTATCAGATTGAATTTAAATTCTTGAACAATATATTACTATGTGAGGTTATATGATTACAAAATGCTCACCATTGTATAATCCAATAACTTCCTACATGCTTATGTATGGAGTATGTGCGAGAACTCAATGCTTATAAATATAAAGATAAAAGGTCTAAGACTCATGCAGGATTAAGTATTCATCAAAGGATAGAGGACCATTAGAGAGAAACATATTAGATAATCTTCATAGGACCTTCATCTGAACTTTATCAGCTCCTTAATGTTGTATTTTCAATGTAGATAACCAACTATTCATTGGTTCTGGTGACAGAGGTCATCTGGATGATACAGTTCTGTATAATGCATGATGATGCTCATTTGGAATTTTGCAGAATGATTCACGGCATGCGCATCAAAGATGGAAAAGCAACTTATGTTTCACGTTATGTTAAGACATCACGTCTTAAGCAAGAAGAATATTTTGGAGGAGCAAAATTTATGAAGGTAAACTTGTCTTGTGTTAGACATGGTCCATATCACAAACATATTTTGTTGTTAGCAATACTTAAGTGATAAACGATACATAATCACAGATTATGTATGTAATAGCTTAAGTTTTTCTTTAAGAGATCCAGGTTCTTATTACTTGTGTATGTACTTTTCAAACTCTTCCAATTTATGTTTGGAGCCTTGCTGCATGATTTGAGAGTAAGTGCAGATACTGTTATGGGGCCTGGATCTGTTAGGGTGTGTGCCCTATTGGTGTTAGGCTTGTTTTGCATGTTGTTGATGTATCTGTAGCCTTCGACTGTCTCAGAGGGGAATGCAATTGCAATAGTCACTATCATCTACAGCTTTACATTGTAATATTTCAGCAGTAGGCTTGAGAATTCTTTTGTAGTGTATATTGAGAATGACATCCTTTATTCATGGAAAGATTGAGCTCCAATTTCATTAACATAATATTTGCTAAATGGACACTTAAGTGAATGACCATTTAATACTGTTGTCTAAATGGATTCTGTACAGCATCTCAACTTCAATCTTAAATCTTATGGTACAACAAGGCGATGTGAAGTTTTGATGAACCAAGTGTCATGCACATGCGGCTCCATTGTCTTGGGGTATTTGTACATGTCATGTTCATTTGACATGGTTATAGGATTTCTAATCACATGCATATTTACCTGACACATTCTATAATGGGCCATGGTACAACATATAATCTCACTGCAAGATCAGCTACGATAATTAAACGAAGTTAAACTCTAAAGTGTGCTCATAGAAGTAGTGTGTTTATGACCAAATTAAGTTAGGGCTAGAGATTGTTTAACTAGTCAACATTGTAGATCAAATAAATGTATGCATTATAGCTAGTCAAAATTCCTAGTCTCCAGGCAACCTTTTTGTTTTCACACTCGAGTAAACCTCCCGTGTTTTCAGTTAAAATAACAACAGGTGTTAACGCAAACTAATAAGATTCTATGAAATTCTATTTTTGCAGTAAAGCATTCTTCTTATGTTTTCAGTTTGGTTAACAAAGGAAATTTCCTCCACCGAGTTGATCTTTTTACAACTATTCTTGGCATTGCTCACATATTTAGAAACCAACACTCCATTTTCAAGGTAAAACTTCCTCGAAGTTAAATGGGTATCCTGTTAAGTTTGACTCATTGTACAAGAACTTTTCATAAGACTGTGTTGTAGGATAAAATTGGGTTCTAACCATGCAAAATATGAAATAAAATTATTCTTATAATAGTTACCTTAGGTAAAAGAAAATATACTGAAATTTACTTACATATTTTACTGCTGCGAGAACTTGTAATTTAGAAGCTACAGAAGATTCCTTATATGAATTTATCTATGGTAAGTTGTCTCAAGCAGAAGTTTTGCACTGCAACAAGAAAGAGCATCAATGAACACAGATCTTATGGTATTGAGCATTTTCATGACTTGTTTGTCCACTAATTAGTACAATTAGCGATGCTTACTTGGGGAAGTAATATCAGTTGATGATTGTAGTTGTAAAATTGGTTTACCTGGTGGATGAGTACGTAAGTTATGAATTGCTATACTCATGAGGTATCCTCAGTATTTTGCCCCTCATAAAGGAATGCCTCAGATGTGGCTGTGGCTAGGTTTCATTGGTGAAGTTAGAAATCAGGAACAATCTCTCCACTGTAGGGAAAAAAAAACAATCTTTTAGTTGAGTCCAGCAAAAATTTAAGGGATGATCAGTTTTCGATTGTCTACCTTGTTGATTAGAACTGAAGCAATAATTTATTTGTTTGGGAAATCTAGCCATCAATCTGTTGACTGCTCTTTGTGTTCCAGTCCCTGCTTGTTGTCTGCTTCTTTATTTTTAGACTTAAAAGACATTTATAGTTCTTCACAACCTTACTCTTCAAATGGTCTAAACGAGAAATAATTGTCTTAATACCCAATGCTTCTCCTATGTTAAATAAATTTGGACATGAGCCTCTATGAGTTGATAATGAAGATCTGGGAAGAAAGATTTGGTGGTAATGTTATTTGTGGAGTGTCTATGAATTGCTTTAATGCTGGTTGTGCATCCCCTGTAGATTGGAGACCTTAAAGGATTATTTGGATTATTCATGGTCCAAATGCAACTTCTCCGAGCAAAGTTAAAAATACTGGATGTTTCATATGGAACTGGGACAGGTACTGTTTTTCCTATGAATCTTAGAAACATACAGCTCTAATCTTCAGATGCTATGTGGATGAGATTATTAGTCTTGACTTTATTTGATGTCACCTGCTTCCAGCTAATACAGCTCTTGTGTACCATCATGGGAAACTTTTGGCCTTGTCAGAAGCTGATAAGCCATGTAAGTATCCTAATAACTTACTGCGATGTTTAGATTTGCAGATTGATAATTTTATGGTTATCTGCTTTTTTCAGAGTATTAGGATGCTTCAGTTTATATTGGTGCAAGTGCATTTGCCTACTCTTGTTCATATCTGTATTAGTTGGCTCAAGGTTTTTAATGACAATCATTGGTACATACCAACGACCAATATTTTACTAGTTTGACCAAGGATTAGAACTAGACCATATAGGTCAGGTGTGATCTTCTTTTTTATGTTTTTCAGTAATATGAGTGATTCAAGTCGGGCTTAGTATATTGTTACTGCACCAATCTGCCCGGTTACCAAAACTGTACCAAAAATGAGATTTAAATCCTTGAGTCAGAATCTGATCCTTACAATCTCATATCACCTAACTGAATGATATCTGAGTTCTTTTATTCCATTCTAGATATTGTTAGGGTTCTGGAGGATGGAGACCTGCAAACACTTGGGATGTTAGATTATGACAAGAGATTGGCGCATTCATTTACTGCTCATCCGAAGGTTGACCCTGTCACTGGTACGAAGCCAAAATTTTGTCTGTTGCTTACATTATACTAGTAAAAGTGCTTCTTGATGTACTTTTGCTCTTTATTGCAGATGAAATGTTTACCTTTGGATATTCACATGTACCTCCCTATGTTACTTATCGAGTCATTACCAAGGACGGTGTAATGCTTGATCCGGTACCAATAACGATACCAGATCCTGTCATGATGCATGACTTTGCCATCACTGAAAACTATGCCATCTTCATGGATTTGCCTCTGTATTTCCAGCCAAAGGTACAGTATTGTTATATATTTAATTTTTCACATTTTTTAAATTAGTCATAAGATTATGCTATTCTAGCAGATGGGTTCCGTGGTGATACACATTGAATTTGCTAATGTTGAAATGGAGAGCTGTTAATGGTAGCATGCTACTAATATCTCGTTATATATTTGAACTGGTTTCAGGAGATGGTGAAGGGAAAACTAATATTTAATTTTGATGCTACAAAGAAATCTCGTTTTGGTGTACTTCCAAGATATGCAAAGGATGAACTGCATATTAGATGGTTTGAACTTCCTAATTGTTATATATTCCATAACGGTGAGTCTCTTGTCCATTAAGGATGATCATGTCAATTTCTCTGTTAATCATCTTTGGGGTTCTTGTAGAGTAACTCGTAGTTGCTGATGATTTTATCCTGAATCTTAAGTCCCTCCTAAATTTGTTTCTAAAGAGATTTCCTATATCTTCTTTGTTTTTAGACTTTAAGGGCTTAAACTTTTTTTATTCCACACCCTTGTTGAATAACCAGCTCATTTTGCTATGTCCAAGATCTCACTATTTTCAAAAAGTTTCAAGGATTAACATATGAACAACCAAACCATGCCTGAGCTTGGGTGGTTGTGTTTGGCATTTTAATTTTCTATATTTCGACATGCCCTACATGATGAGTTCCTTTGTGGTACGGTGGAGTTCAGTAAATTCGAGTGATTTTGACCGACTCAAAGTAGCAAATAGCAAATTTGTAATAATGAATAGTACAATCACTTTTAGCATCTTAAAGGCAGGACATATTCTGGATGCTGATGTATAAGTGCGTCAAACTAGGTAAAGGTTTATACTTAATTTTTCCTTCTTTTGTCGAGGGATCTAAGCTTCCTGATACAACAGTAATCATGGAAAATTCCTCTTATTTATTTTTCTTCTTTCTCGCCCTTTTCTCCCTCCTTATTCTGCTGTGGATGGTCATCTTATGAGTGAGGAGATTGTGGAGTAAATTAGTGACGAGTGACTTGATGGATTTGTTGTCTTCTAAGATTTATACAAATATTTGGTGGTTGTAATACTAAAATTATCATTAATTTTTTGTGGTTGTAATGGATTTCTTTAATCAGCAAATGCCTGGGAGGAAGGTGATGAGGTTGTTCTAATCACTTGCCGTCTTCAGAATCCAGATTTGGACCAGGTCAATGGAGCTGTGAAAGATCATCTTGAGAATTTCACAAACGAATTGTATGTCTCTGAATGTTTTATATTAAATTTTATTATCTTTCTGCTCTTTAAATGCTGTTTTAATATCAGGTATGAGATGAGGTTCAATATGAAGTCTGGTGCTGCTTCACAGAAACAACTGTCAGTCTCTGCGGTCGATTTCCCTCGGATCAATGAGAGTTACACGGGCAGGTATAACTTGTTTTCTTTTACTTAGTCCATATTAAAATGTTGACTTTGAATTGGTGGGTTTAAGGTTTAGTGATGTTTAAGAAAAAAAAATGGTGTTTTGGCCTGTTTTGCTCTATCTTTCACCAGGAAAGTGGAAGACTAATTGCCAGTACCTTTGTAGGTTCAATTTTTCATATATAAAAGAGGGGCAGTTTATTTGCCAGACATCACAGAGTAAAATTTTAAACAATAAAATTACATCTCGCACTCTATTTTGTGGTATTGCAAGTCCACCAAATCTTCTCAAGATTACATTTTGAAGTCAGCCTCAAACTCCATTAAGTACCTTAATTTTGGCTTGAAATGTAATATTTAATTACATTGCAATGTGTAATTTTTGACACATGATATCTGAAAATTTTCGCCTAGCAATTCTTGTGGTGGTGTTGACCTTCCAATGTATTGATTCATGGTTTGTGCTGAGATGCGGATGGAAATAATTGGGTGAAATTGTCCTTATATTGAAGTTTAGTTTCTCTTTGCTTTTCTTGATGCTGGAAAAATGTCACATTATTCTCTTATCATAAATTGGTAGAGGCGCAAGGAGAAAAGGTTATAAAATGGCTAAATAAATATATCCTTGGATAAATGTTTTGGGAAGATTCTGCAAGTCATGAATAAATTGGTTTATTTTGCATATAGTCTAGGTTAACAACCTCAGAGGACTAGTGCTCTTATGTCTAAATACAGTTTTTTTCTATTGGTTCTTCCATAGTTGTCTAAATAAAGGAATTTAATATCATCTAAATCATGTTTTTAACTTTGTGATACATTCATTTGGGTTTCAGGAAGCAACGGTATGTCTATTGCACCATACTTGACAGCATTGCGAAGGTAAAGGGCATTATCAAGTTTGACCTACATGCTGAACCAGAACTTGGTAAGAAGAAGTTAGAAGTTGGAGGAAATGTAAAAGGCATCTTTGATCTTGGACCTGGAAGATATGGTTCTGAGGCAGTCTTTGTGCCTCACAAACCTGGTTTCTCATCAGAAGAGGATGATGGCTACCTAATATTCTTTGTGCATGATGAGAACACAGGGTACTCTCTCTCTCTCTCTCTCTCTCTTTATATCATTCAATCTTGTCACTCGGTTAATCTTACTCTAAAAATGACAAAATGGTTTTGCTGATAATATGCTCTGTTTTGCCACTGAAGGAAATCTGAAGTCAATGTAATAGATGCGAAGACGATGTCTGCTGATCCTGTTGCGGTTGTGGAGCTTCCGACCAGAGTTCCCTATGGATTCCATGCCTTCTTTGTGACGGAGGTCAGTAATGTTCTGAATAGTTGACTGCTTTTGCTTTAGTGCTACTCTGAACCTTAGAATAAATCTAAATGAAGATATTATTAATCACACATGCATGATTTGCTCGTAATTGATTCAGTTAGGTTTTAGATGTGCTTCATTCTTCTGATTGCTGCTAACCTGCCACTGACCAACACCACAAATTAATTGTGATCTCTCGAACACCTTGCAGCATTTACGATATAAATCATCAGCATTCTTCGATCTACTATGAATAACATCCAAGTAGTGGGACACTCCTGAATTTTCAAATCAGTTCATGCAACTTCCACCAATCTCTTCTAAGAGTTATATTTGACCTCTGAAACACTTGCATCAGTGTAGGGTTTAATCGAGAACCTGCAACACTCTGTTCTGCACAACATATGGATTGGAATTAATAGTCACAAGCATGTGCTAGTTCTTTTAGAACATATTTTTAGATAATGTTGATCAGATCCTTGCAACTTTTATCTGATGGCTGGGATACTAAATTCTATTATAATATGCTGGTGATAAAATATTTATTTTTACCTTCAAGTTCTCATATAAAATTCTTTGGTGACTTGCAGGAGCAACTTCAACGACAAGTAGAGGCATAGTTAATGGACATGCCAACACCCGAGAAGACCTGAGGGTTTGCATTAGAGTTCTAAGCAATCACATGGCTTTGCAAGCTGTATGTATGTGTTCTAATCGTTACTGACCACTGTCTGTAGTCTTCAACTAATCGCACTGCGTGATTTCATCTATCTCATTATAATCGTGTATGGTCAGTTCTACTGTCGTAGAGTGAATGCTGTGTACATGCTACAAACCTTGCATCCCTTTTGTCTCAATATCTGTGGTAAGTATACTGAGGCCTTCGTTTCTTTCTGGAGGTTTAAGATATGGGTGTTATCGTCGCTGTCTAATTTGATGCCTGGCGATAGATGAGACGACAAAATATAGAAGACACAAATATCTGTTTATTGGTAGAATTGTTTATTAGTCTCTATATTTAATGTCGGAAAATGAATTTTAGGGAACGATCGTAAAAGCATTATCATTACGTGATTATTTTCTGCTAACGGGTTGGATCACATCCTCAAACTACAGCACCAAGATTACACGTACGTGGAGATGGCTTTAGGTTCTCTGACCGGAACGCGCGGCCTCCTTCGCTCTCTGTCCCACCTCCCCCACCCTTCGCTTCGTGTCCTCCATCTGCTCCGGCGTCCTATGCAACATCCCTCTCGCCTGGTTCAGCAGGTACCCCATCGACGACAACCCCGTAAGCCCGAAGGCGCCCGACGCCAGGAACCCGGTCACCGCCAGCGCCACCAGGAGCGCCGCAGGCACCACCACCGGGCCGAACAGCAGCAACAGCGGCGTCAGCACGGCGAGCCCTATCAGCGAGCCGACGAGCGTGAGCCCCGCGAGGGCGAGTAGGCCGCCGCCGAGGGGTAGCAGCGTGGCCACCGCGAGAGCTTGAGAGGTCGAGGGGCCTTTCTCCGGCAGGTAGCCCTTCACGGCTTCGGTCGGGTGCCGCTCGCGCTCGCTGTCGCCCATGGTCTGAAGGGAAGTTCTCATAGGGAGAAGGATATCGACGGGCGATGGAATTGAAGGGAGCGTATATAGAGAGGGAGAAGGGGATGGACACGTGGGGGAGAGACTGACGCGTGGGAAAGAGAGGTGAGCTTGTTAGGCTTGACGTGGAGATACGCTTCGACACACGTCTGTTGTGGATGGCCACGTACGAACGGTGAAGCCATGCAATGTGTCGCATGAACCCGACTTGAACCGTCGACGAACCATGTGTGGCTTGAGCCGGTTTGATACGCATAAGATTTTAGGGGATCTTTATTTACCTTGTAGACTTAAGTGATTAGGATAAATTAATTTTTATATTTAAATTTTAAATAAATTGTTTAAAGCTCTTGTAAGTAAGACTTATTTTCTTGACAAACTGTATCAATGGATAACTGTGTTATTACACTAAAGTCGTCAACTGTTGAGTTAGGTTTGCTCGGTTCAATTTAACATCGTAAATCCTTTTTGAGAAGCTGACATGGAGGACTATTGAGGAGAGCTAGCCTGAGGTGTGGGCATAGAGAGCTTTCCATTTGTGAAGGGGGTGAATTGTTATTGGGAAGATGGTCCGCTTGTTCGTGGGGGTCGTCTCGCAATGGTTCCTCAGATATGTTAGGGATTTTGCACGACAAGCGAAGGTCCAGGTCTCGATGTGACCTCTTTGATGCTTAAATTAGAGAGATAGAGAAAAAATGAGTTGGCTATATTCCGAAGAATATGATATTCACTTGCTTACCTTTGTTTTGCTTGGGGTCTGGGTTTCATACCTGGGCACCTAGTGCATGAGGATGGGGATTGGTGAGAGCCCCCTACCTTGCTTGTCAAGTTTTGGAGGTGACTTTACTAGCACGTCATCCTGAGGCCGGTATCGACATAGAGTCGTTGGAATCGATTTAATACATTTTGTTATGATCCGAACCTAACGTGCTAATTAGCTTGTTAAATTTGTTGAACCCAAATCATTAGCTAAAATACTTAAGCTAAAACTAATAATAAAACTTTCATTACATCTTTATAAAAGTTAATTTTACTTTTGTCCATTTTCAATATAAAATGAATGAAGAGAGTTATATTGATTGTATTTATTTATAAGACTAAATAAATATACTATCATTAATTTATACATAATATATTTTGAATCACATGATTCAAATATTATATTAATTCCAATTGAATAGAACTTCCCATAGATTTGGATCCTATCCAAATGCATAATTTATGCATACACACAACATGGAGATGCCATTCTCTGTCATCAGAACAGATTCCCTCTCTCTCTCTCTCTCTCTCTCTCTCTCTCTCTCTCTTTGTGGTAGTCGCGTTCATGCATCGGCTCTCAAACAGGTGGCTTCTCATGTGAGAAGGAGGCAATGGCGGTGGCAGTCCAGAAAACGCAACCCAAACGTGTGTGCCATCAAACTTCCTTCCTTCCTTCCTTCTCCTCCGACAACAGATCTCTCGTACATTATACTGGACAACTCCCACGAAGTTACCGCGTCCATAGGAAAGGAAGAAGATGATCGAAACCACCTGTTTGAATCGTCTCGATTCTTCTTCACCGTACCTTCTGAGGTTTTCTTTTTTGTTTGATCCGTCCATTTGGTCCACAAATGCACCAGGAAGAAGCTTCAAAGACATTCAAACCAAAAAGGTGGAGCTTTTGACGGTCAACGGAAGGCAGCAGCACGCCACTTCTTTTATCTTCACGAGAAAGATATCGGATGGCGTGTAGCATTCATTTATTCTAATCTTAATTGAAGTTGACTATGATTTCTTTCTAATCGCATTGTTTGTGCTGTCTAAAATATTGTTTCTTTCGATATCATCAATGTTGATGACGTCCTGATCATGACTCGGTTCATATCCCTCCGCGATGAGGTTAGAACAAAGGGATCGATGATAGTTGATCTATCCAAAAACCGAGATCATATGGGATCGTTACGATGAGAACAACAGTTGATGTTGTTTCTCGATGAGAAGAATATTTCATGTTGCATTACTGACAGTGAGGCAGAAAGAAAGCACAGTGACAGCACTAAGAGACTTTAGAAAGGCTTCGACACCAACCACTGCTTTCCCTGACGAATCTGTCCGGCCGCGATCAGCCGAGACGACCACAAGCCAAAAGTCTTCCTGTTCTTTCCAAGCCCAATTCTCTTCCGACGACGGAGTCTTCAGTCAGCAGAAGACCGATGAAGCTGCCACTGACATCCCAACCATTTTCTCTGTCATTTATTGGGAATATAAATCGATAGATTGCGTTCCGGATAGAAAAAAAAATTCAAGCTTTTTGATGAATGATGAGTGTTAAGAATATAGATCAACGGGGTTTGTTTATTATTCTCTTTCCGGTAAACTACAAGAAGTATTGCAGTGTGCTAATTCCTTCGAGGACAAGGATCTCTCTCTCTCTCTCTCTCTCTCCACTGGTGGGTGACCGGACTGGGTTGGGAATATCGAGGCTTGGCACTTGTTAGAGCACGCGTTTGTAAAGCTCTGCGGAGGGAAGTCCTTGTCGTTCTACCCCCAACTGTTGCTGCTTTTATTGTTCCGACTCGCATTATTCTGCAGAAAAAGATGAGCTGATGCGCTGTGAGAGGTGTTTTGTTCTTAATCTCTTCCATAAAGTATTGCTTGGTGGATACGGAGGAGCTGCATTTCTGGCTTGGACTGATTTGTTCCGGTTGAAAAGATGTCATCTTTGAATTATAGGCTGCTGGATTCGGCTGCAACCTCGTTGATGTCGTCTCCCCTTCGAATTTTCTTCAGGGATGTGAGGTACGGGTCTTGCTTCTCCTCGAGAAACTTTCCTCAAAATCTCGACTTGCTCGGAGTCTCTGTTCTCGTTGACGAATGTATGTCGCAGGCATGCCTTCAAATTGGATGAGCTTGGATTGGAGATCATGGGGATTGCTTTCCCTGCGGCGCTGGCTTTGTTGGCTGATCCGATTGCCTCCCTCATCGACACTGCTTTCATCGGTCACATAGGTTGGTCTGGGTTGCTATTTTTGTGACTTGACCATACTTTACCCTGTCTTCGCAATACCTTTACCATCCTATAAATTTTCGCGTATTTTGTCTTAAAAGGTGAATTTCTACGCCCTCGTTTGTGTCTCAATAAGATCATCTTTTCCAATCTTTCACTGAGCAGCCGTTGTTTTATGGAAGGAGATTTAAGAGATGCTTGTTCTTCGGCTGATATCAGGTTTTTGTGATTTGGATGGGAAATTTTCCTAGGGTTTCAATTCCTGACCGGTTACGTTGCTTGGACCTGGTTCAACAGACTTGTGATTGCAAATCCTCATTCATGCTGTCAGATGCCTTGGATGATGCACTTGTTACCTTATTTTTCGTCTTCCTTGTGCACGAGGAACTATTGATTCATTTTCCTTCTGCGGTTTCGAACGTTGATAACACCTTCACTTCGAGAACTTCAATTTGTGCATGATAAAATAAATCGTCACTCTTTATCTACTTAAGAGTAAATATATCTATCATTTATTGATAGTCATGCTATTGATTGTTCTCCAAAATTTTCCTTTTAGATCAAGACATATTTGTTTACTCCATACATATGTTGCATCCAGATTGGTTTCATTCCATGGACAACTGAATTGCTATCAGAACATTAATTTTATTGTCCACCTTTTCATCAATCTTATTCAGGTCCGGTGGAGCTCGCAGCCGTAGGCGTGTCTATTGCGGTGTTCAATCAAGTATCGAGAATTGCTATTTTTCCACTTGTTAGTGTCACGACATCCTTTGTTGCTGAGGAAGATGCTGTCAGCAAAAGTCGCAGTGGAGACCCAGAAAGCGGAGAATACCGAAGGTCATTTTCTGAGGATAGTGAAATGAAAGAATTGATAACTCACAATGGTAGGCAACCGCTTATGATCTCTTGAGAAACATTAATCTGGCAGTTAAAAGTGGTTGGCAATTTATCAAACAGATATTTCAAATATTTAGAAGCTGAGTTACATCAGGATTTATGTCTTATCTGTGTCTTGTGTTGCTCTATCAGATCATGATGAGCATGCACATACCTCATCTGCCTCCTTGGATAAATCTACTACCATGACCGAGTGTGGGCATCATAAACGCATTCCATCAGCCTCTTCAGCATTAGCAATCGGTGGCATACTTGGCTTTCTTCAAACTCTATTTCTAGTTTTTGGAGCAAAACCCATTTTGAACTATATGGGCATAAAACATGTAAGTATGTATTATCATCCTCTGTAAGTTGTCCATTTTTTTTGTCATAATTGTCATTTTTTCATTTTTGCCAATGTTCCAGCCTGTTTCATGTCCAAGTTATCATCATTTTCAGTAACGAGTTTTAGGATTGCAAATGATAAAAGAAAGTGATTCCCTCCAGAGAAGTTGCTAATGTGTTAGTAATCATTCACTTAAACAATTGTTGATATCACTTACCAGCGAGTAGGTCTGCAATAGTTTGTTCATGATTTGATTCCTTCAGCAAATAGGACAAGGCTCCATTTCACACCTAAATACGATAAACCTATGTCTATAATAATTGATGCAAGCAATTGTTTTAAAATGTTTATCATCTCATGGGTAACATCCTATCAGCCTGTTCAACTTTCATTATTTCCTAGTCATTAGTCAGGAATGTGCTAATCTAGAAATGTGTTCCTTGTATATTGGGACATTAGGTTCTTGAAGAATTCATGCTTTGGTATAAAAGATTGTAAACACCATGTTTTAAACATTACATGACGATCATTTATGTTAAAGATAATACCACATATGTGGAAGCAACAGTTATTCTCAGAGGTCCTTGATGTTGAGGCTCTGAAAAGCCTGATAATGGTTACTCCTTTGTGAAGTTTGAGGATCTTTTCTTTATATCTATGCTGATGTCTTTTTCCCAATTTATTTCAGAATTATTTGATGTAAATTATGGCTATACAATAACAGGGCCTATTTGTCAATAGGATTCCCCTATGATGACACCAGCATGTCAGTACTTGACATTGCGGTCCCTTGGTGCTCCAGCTGTTCTCTTGTCTCTGGCCATGCAAGGGGTTTTTCGAGGACTTAAGGATACAAAAACTCCTCTTTATGCAACTGGTAAGAAAAACTATAAACGGTTCTGATTGTGCTATATCATGAAAATGTATTAAAAGTGAAATTATAGGGATTCATGTAATTTAGTTCTTTTTTTCTCACTGGCTTCCTATGTTTCTAGTTGACATTGAACTGCAAACAAGGCTTTCAAACCCATAACAGAATCCTGTTTGGATCTAATATTTTCTTTCTTTACGTGCCCCTTGTAGTTCTTGTGCTGCTGTTTTGAGTTCCCTTGCATATCATTTTGACTTATTTATGTGAAAAATTCAAGTACCTGTCTTGCTCTTTGTCTATGTTATGAGAAACTTCAGACATTACTTTCCAAGTCTAGCACTTCCTATGTGTATAAAGATTTATTCAGTTTTTGTTATCTCGATTTCATGAGACTGCAGTCTTAGCAACTGAACTTCCTTTAGGTTCAATATCATGGAGCATATAAGAGTAAGTCACTCATTTCCGCTTCTTCACCCACACCCCTCATAGACGATAGAAGTTATCTATTCCGGTCACTATACATGTTCATATTACATTTGATGTTTCAGTATTTTTGTTGCCAAAGCATCTATTCAGTCGCAATACTGGAAGGCAATTCTTTATTAAGATGCTTATGCATATGCAGTAATATTCAAGGCCACATCTACTTTTACAACCCAAGTTTGATATCAAGGTTAACGAAACAATTTCCAAGGTTGAACTAAAATACATAATTATATACAAGTGGATCAAGCAGCATCCTCATAGGTGATTTTGTTTTTGATCTTTATCCATGTTTCTCCACAATTCAGTTAGCATGATTTTGAATTTTATTCAATTATTTGTTACCAATAACATTACCGTGATATTTGAAATGTTTATTCTGTCAATATCAGTCCATCTGCTTAATGGTCTCTTAGAATGTATAAAACCGCAAAGATAGAATATAGTGGTGATGCAGTTGATCTTTGGTGGTGATTCGTTTAGTAGTTCTGATATAATTGTCACTCCCATGTAAAACCCTATTGCTTGTGTTCTTTCAACTGTTTCAGTTACATGGTTTGGATGACCAGCTAAAGTTTTTTTTTTTCTTCTGACTAGCTCAGTTGTTGGAGATGCAACCAATATAATTTTGGACCCAATATTTATATTCGTGTTCCAATTAGGTGTCAGTGGTGCCGCTATTGCTCATGTTATATCTCAGTAAGTTTTGTCTTATTTCTCTCTACATACATGCAGTAAGTTTCTCTAATTTGCTTTAATTTTGAACAAGAATTAATTGCAGAAAACACTAATATGTTCATTTTCCAAATCAGTTGCGGAAAACATCAATATGTTCTTTTTTGTTTTGTCATATTTCATTCCAGATACTAAAAGAATTTAATGCTTTGTAGATACTTAATTGCGTTAATTCTCTTGTGGAGATTACTGAGGCAAGTTGATATCTTGCCACCTAGTATCAAAGATCTGCAGTTTGGTCGATTCCTAAAAAATGGTAAGTGGTTCATCGTATAAAGCTGTCATGCAATGTTTATCATGGTAGTACAACATTTATCAGTTGTATATTTTAAGACATTTCTAGCTGTCAAAATTAGGAGAAATCACCAAGCTCTGCGACTAGATAAAAGCAATTGGTAAGAACTGTCTCAGAATAGAAAGCTGAAGAAATATTATGATAGTGGTAATGCATTTCTTGTACGTATGCTTTAGAATTTGGCTTTCAACTCATATAGGTAATTCACCATGCTAATAATCCTCCTTGGCTCTTGAAACCAAGTTATTACTGCATGCATAATAAGTGTTCTTTATTCTGCAGAATATTGACCTGTACTGGATTTCAGGTCTGCTATTGCTTGCACGGGTGATTGCTGTAACATTCTGCGTGACATTAGCAGCATCAATGGCTGCACGACAAGGATCAATTCCCATGGCTGCATTCCAGATATGCTTGCAGATTTGGTTGGCAACTTCTCTTCTCGCTGATGGTTTGGCTGTTGCTGGACAGGTTAGGAGGCATCTGCGTTTACATGTGCTTGATTGTTAGTAGCAAACACTGATGTTGGATGACACCAAAGAAACTGAAATCCTACTTTAACTAATAATTTTTGTGATGCTCTTCATCACAAGTGCTGCAAATTTTTTTCATGAAAAATATATCACACAAATGAATGTCTTGGCATGTTACATGAACAGATAAAGTATTTTGGAATGAGAAGAGAAGCACCTACCTATAATCAAGTTGATGTCATAGGATCATTCTGCTACGTCTTATGTCACTCTCATGGTAATCACACGCATGCACGCACACAAACACATGCACACATGTACAAGATAATCCACTGTCTGTGATATTGTTTTCCTGTCTCTTATTTCCTATTCACAAAGATGATCCACACACGGCAACTTGTCTTGTCTGATAGTACTTATCTCCTTGAGCAAAACTGAGAAGTAGAGGTACCTGAAGAATGTCATGGCTAGTTGCTTGACCATGGCAGAACATAACAGTTAAGGAACTTGTGTGACTGTCCATTGTGATGGTTTCTTGTCTACCTCTTATAACCTGGCCAAGGACTATGCCAACTATATAACTTCAGTCTTTAATTTTTCCCCTGCTTTTCAATGCCACAATATAGTGAGGGTTATCAAAACTTTTGCAGGCAATACTTGCAAGTGCATTTGCCAGAAGGGATCATGCTAGGGCAACATCCGCTGCTTCGCGTGTTCTGCAGGTAACATTTTCCTATTGAATAGTCAATTTCGTCTCAGTGTCCATTAGTTCTAATTTCATACTTGGCGGCAGTAATTAAGTTACACATCACTTGCAGTGGGGTATGGTTCTGGGTCTGGTCCTATGCATCATACTTGGAACCAGTTTGCAATTTGTGTCAAGATTATTCACCGAGGATAATGAAGTGCTTCAACTCATTCATATCGGAATTCCGGTAACTAAGTTCATTCTCAGAAGACATATCTATTATCATCCGTTGCATTAAAAATAATCTGGCTGGGCCATTTTGAAGAACTTCTCTGTGATGATATGTTCATGTTTCATTCATCAGATCATCCCACCAAGTAGGTTAAAAAGAATATCTCTGAATCACATATCTACTTATTATATGTTTATGTCCCTGCAGTTTGTTGCGCTTACTCAGCCAATAAATTCTTTGGCCTTTGTCTTCGATGGCATCAACTATGGAGCATCAGATTTTGCATACTCTGCATATTCCATGGTACTTCGAGCAGAATCATGATTTGATGACAGATAAAGTGGCTCTATATCCCTCAATTTTTTACATTCAAAGTGCATCTTGTTATGTTACATTTCAGGTCCTGGTGGCACTAGTCAGCATTGGATGCCTGGTTGTCCTGTCATCTAGTCATGGTTTCATTGGAATCTGGATAGCTCTATCAATCTACATGAGTTTGCGAATGTTTGCCGGTTTCTGGAGGTAATATTCGGACCTTTTTTAACAATTTACTGTACATGCTTTTTTGGTTAGTGGTGCATGGCAAGGCATTAAACTTGGGCATGGAAGATGATTCTGTTATGCTTAATACGTCGCTTTGTGTAGAAGCATGTTAAAAAGGAAAACTTTCACACTCGAGATGACAATCTCGCATCCTTTTACAGAACTTCAATAAAAAAGGGAAGACAAGAAACCGTCTTCTGTAATCTTGAATTTTTCGAAGGTTCAAGGCAGGAAAAATCCTTTCTCAAAGGATGAAACATACGAAAAGAACAAACAAGAAATTATTTGTGCAGTAGGATGATCATGCATAATTTTAGAAGTCAATCCTTTTGTTGGTAACCGGGAAGAGAACAACACCACAAGTTTCTTTGTCAATCTACCTTGACAGAGAAGTGAGATCTAGTTCAGTTTTATGTTCATCCTCTCTGAGAACTCATCTAGTTTGCCACATACAAAGCCAGATATGTACTTGAGACTGCTTAGGTCTGATTCCAGATGTCACAGCAGCTTTCAGCATTAGGCATTGCATGATGCATGTCATTCCTCACAAAGCTCTTCAACCATCTGCAGAATAGGGACAGCAAAGGGACCATGGAGCTTTCTTGGGAGTTGATTGAGGCTTTGCTTCCCTGTCATCTTGTCAAGCATGCATCTGAAGAATGCAGACCATTACTCTGGTGATTCAAAGGTGTGACCTACTTATAATTGTATGATCTCTTTCAAAGCTTTTTTGCTCAGTTTATATGCCGAATTTTTCGGCTTTTATATTGTTAACATGCATTGGTAAACTAATGGTGAAAACAACCAGCTGAATCATAAAATTATCAGGAGTCTTGCTATACAAAAAGCTAGAAAAAGTCGTCCCTCTTTTTCGGCCGAGACCGACATGAGTATGTAAAAAAAAATTCTTCTGACCTAAATCTTTTTGTTTTACAAAGCCTTGTCGAATCAAAATACCCAACAAGCATAAGCATTAGCTCTACCCGAAAAAGAAAAAGAGATGATTCCGTCACACTTTACGACTTCACTTGAGTCACTCCAAGTATCGCAACCCTAATGCTTCTTTTGCTTCAATCTTCATCAACCTCTCCAACTAACAATCAACAGTCAGAAGCTTCCTTTCCCACCTCATGATGCAGTGTCTCAAAATAATTCACCTGTTCATGGAGTCAGCATCAGTCACCTAAAATTCCTGTTTCTAGATAAGTGCATGTACCCTTCACATGTATTATGTTGAGAATCTTGATTCTTGCCAAGTGTGTATATATATATACCCTTTACATATTTATTACATTAAAAATCTTGATTCTTGACAAGTGAATTATATATGCCCTTTAGATATTTATTACATTAAAAATCTTGATTCTTGACAAGTGTGTATATATATACCCTTTACATATTTATTACATTAAAAATCTTGATTCTTGCTAAGTGTATATATATACATCCTTTTACATATGTATTATGTTAAGAATCTTGATTCTTGCCAAGTGTGTATATATATACCCTTTACATATTTATTACATTAAAAATCTTGATTCTTCACAAGTGTGTATATATATACCCTTTACATATTTATTATATTAAAAATCTTGATTCTTGCTAAGTGTATATATATACACCCTTTACATATTTATTATATTAAAAATCTTGATTCTTGACACATATATATATACATACA